CAAGTGAGGACTACAGCTTTTCATTATAATTCTTCTAGCAACAGCTAAATATTTTTTAAAACATGAGAATTAGCTCCTTTGTCAGAAACAAGACATTTTGAATAATGTAAGTAATTTATACGATTTTAATAACCCTGTGTTGGCATTTATTCATTCTTTATTTTTAATTTTTTAAGTAGGCCCCATGCCCAACATGGGGCTTGAACTCACGACCCTGAGATGAAGAGTCACATGCTCTAATGACTGAGCCAGCCAGGCGCCCCCATTTCTTCATTTTTAAATATATTAGGAGCCTCCAAAAAAAAAAAATGTACCTAGCCCACGTGGCGTTCTGAGCTGTGGCTTAGAGATCCAAGCGCCCCTCTCCCCACCCCACCTTACGCTCCTCTACATTGGCTCCCCTACAACAAGGACTGCGTTCTTTACTCTTCATCTATTATGGGATGGGCTGAGCCTCTCTGCGTCCAGCCTAAGTGGAGCCCTGAGTCTGGGGGTGGGAGTGCAGGATCCACAGACCCTGAGCCCGGGGAAGTCAGGAGGAGCCTTCCCATGGGGCAGCAGCTGAAAGTCTATGTGTCTATACGTCCCACCAGCCCTGTCCCAGATGCTACTACTGCTGCGCTGCTAACAAGGCCCCAGGGAGCTGACAGGGCACCCCGCCCAGCCCCAGAGCTCCAGATGCTGCCTGCCACCCTCCCCCTCAGGTGCCTCACCTCCAGGACCCAGAGAGAGGCTGGTGCTGTTAGCTGGGCCTGGCTGCCCCTCCCTACCTCCACTCCTGGGGAGCTCTCCCCAGAGTCCCCAGGGCCCTGTTGTTTTCCAGGGCTAACACAGCCCCTCCTCTCCCCCCCCCACATACACCCAGCCAACCCCTCAAAGAAGCTCCCCACACCTGCTCAAAGCATGGCCTGCAGTGAAAGTGGCACCTTGCCCCAGGCCCAGGTGGAAGAATTCATTAATTTCCTCAGCAAAGGCCTGCAGCTATTTAATTGCTAGAATGAAAAGGTTTCCTGTGAAACCCAACACCCAGACCTCACCACCAAGAGAATGAAACTCTGCACCCCAGCAGGCCTCAGCTGGAGTCAAAAGCAGGGGTCTTTTGAGCTCAGGGGCTGAGGCTCCCTGGGCAGAGAGACTCTCTGCTTCCACTCAGGTACACACCTACACACACGCACACGTGAACAGGTACCATAGGAATCCACGAGAATCCACTCCTTTTGCCCCCACACTGAGGGTCCATGTGCTCCCTTAAGTGTACCAGCATCTGCAAGCTCAGTTGCCTTCTGGATCTGTAGGGGTCACACCTAAGTTTGCTGCCAGCTTATTGGCACATGCATACCCCTTGAACCCACAGGCACTAGCAGGTTATTTTTCAAACTTATTTAGCATTAGCAGAATCCTTTTGTTAGATGAAACCTTACAAGGGCACGCCAAACGTATAGAGCCGGAGAAGAAAGGTGAAGGGCCCAGCGCATAGAGCCACGCATGCTCAGCTTTGATCTCCTTTCCCTGCTCCCTCGCCTCCCCCAGCCAGAAAGAGGACAACCGGTGTCTAGTGTGGTCACTATTTCCGAGCCCCCCAGCCTCCACCAGGTAGGCCTGAGCTCACCCAAGGGGCAGGGAGGCCGGATGCTTCCTCAAGCTGAGTTGGATAGGAGAGGGTGGCACCTGCTCACTCTCCTCCCACCCTACCCCACGCAGCCCCTCCCCATCTGCTTCCCAGACAACATTGATTTGGGGTTTCTGGGGTTTGTGGGTCCCTCTCCTGAGCTTCCCCACTCACCAGATGTAGTGATGGCCCACACCTAGGGCTGCCTATGTTAGGGGACAGGGGATCACAGGTGTTCTGGGACACACCAGGTACCTTGGGTGGGGTAACCTCTGTCTGAGCATCTAGGGTCCCCACAGTCCCATCTTGCCTGCCTCTAGGTTAGAAGGATGAACTGAGGAAAGCAGGAAGGAAGACCATGATGGAGGCAGCCCCAGGAAGAAAGAAATGTTTCCTTGGGAACAGTCTGGCCCCCTCCAGAGTCTCTGTTGCCAGGAAAGAACCCTGCCCCCCTTGGCCCTCCCACAGGGAGCCACACAGCCGAACTTCCACCTCCTGCCCCGCAGGGAACACCAGGGACTTCTGACTCAGGAACCCGGGCTGTGCTCAGCTGGCTGTGCCAACCTCAGGGCGTTGTTAGCCAAGGGGAAACTAGCACATCCACTGGCCTACAGCCCCCTGCCCCCTCCCAACCTGGCAGGGTGTGTGAATAGCAGGAAGAAGGGCACCCAGCAACCATCATACTGCTGGGTGCCAACTAGGGGTGGTCATAGATCCTTCCCGTCACCAAAACACCTGATGAGCACCTCCAGTCTCCCCACCACTCCCTGATTCCAGCCCCCAACAGAGCTATGGGGGTGGAGGCCCTAAGCAAAGCCAATGAACCTGCTCTGAAACCTGCCATTCCATCTCCCTCCCCAGCCTGCCAGCATTGTTGCCAAGGCTGCCCATGGGAGGGCCTCTGCGGGGCTTTCTTGGAGCGAAGAACAGGCAGCTATGCCAGGTGAAGACCAGGGAAACCCAGCTGGTATGTGCTTGAGCAAAGCCTGGGTGTTTTCTGTGACAGTTGGTGCCAGGAGAACCAGAGGTCAGGGAACCCCCGCTGGATGGAATGCTTAAGGTCTATGGGGTTTCGTTATGATGTTAGAACGCTGCCCCCAGTATTATCCCCAGCAATAAAGGGCTGGGTTGGGCACCCTCAGCTCCCCCTGGGACCCTGATGTCTGGAGGACTGAGCAGTGCCTATTTGGATGCAAGGACCACTCTGCATCAGCCCTAATGTGGAGATACAGCCAGGGGCCTCTTCCATGCAGGACTGGCATTCCCCTTCTTGGCAACCCTGGAGCAAGGCAGAGGACTGGCCTGACTCCTTTGTGGTTGAACAAGGGTTAACTTCAACCATTGCCCTATATTCCTGCTACCCTGGATCAGGGTAGGCAGTGTCCATTTCAAGGAGACACAAACACACCAGGGAAGTGGGAGGGATGGGAGGCTGGAGATACTGGTGAACCTGGTGCCTAGTTTCTGTGGCAGCTTGAGGGGAAAGAGGAACACACTCATCAGCCCCAAAGTACCCCTACCTGCAGCGGGTTCCAATGCTCCCCACCTCAACCTCACTTCAGCAAGATGGCTGCTGACTGGAGTACTATCAATCAGAGAGACCTAGGTGAGAGTCTTTTCTTCCAGGGCATTTTGCCTCTCTCCAATCTCAGCAAGAAAAGAACCACCCACCCCTCAGGCAAGGGAGTACAACTGAGACATTCTGGAGATTCAGCCACTAGCCTTCTGCCTAACAATCCTTGGACCAATCATCTATCACCCCATCAGGAAGTTCCTCTCAGATCAGATTTAAATCCCTCCAGCCTTAACCTCCGTCAGAAGCTTGTCTTCTTTTGCCCTCAGGGGAGGAAAACAGAAGAGTCAGAAGAGACTGAACTGTCTTAGCACCCAGCACAGCATACTCTATTTCCTGGTTCACACTCACAGCACCAGAACGGGGTCTCCTTGAGAGTGGGGGATGTGCCTGGTTTGTTCATCATTGTCCCCCAGGACCTACCACTCAGGCCTCGCTTCCTTTACCAGGGCTCTCTGGTTGCAAACCACGTCCTTTATGATGGATAAAACAGAGGCATGGTCTGAGGAGCAACTTGGAGTGCCCTTGTTTAAGCAGAGATGGAAAGTAAGTGGACACCCCAACCAGCCCAGAAGCTTGGAGGCTCAGGTCATCCCAACATTTCCTAGGACTGCTCTGCAGAGGCAGATGCCTTGCTACTCTGAGGGCTCAGTAGTGGACTTCAGAGACTCCCCAACCCTCACCTTGCTCCCCCCCTCACTCGTCCTTTGGGAAGCAGGCAGCTCCTCAAAATGAACTTCCTGTGACTCAGGAAGTGGCCCTCCAAAGGCATATTCCCAAAGGGGACCACTCCTGAGCAAACCACTCCCATGGCCCTGGGGTCTCAGATCCGGACCAAGTCTGCAGGCCTCAACCCGAGGCAAACCAGAGCAGGCTGGGCCCAGCACTAGCTCATGCTTCCCCACCCTGGAGGGTGAGTTGTCCACACCCCAAGGGCCCATCTGTGGCCTGGGGACTAAGGGCAGAGTCGGAGCTACCTGTGACCTGTGCCTGCCTTGGTCCTGAAGAATGACCAGGAGACCCCATCCCTTACCTGGTCTTCTTGGAGGCTACTGCCCAGCCAAAGCTGGCTGACCCACTCATTCTCACAGACTGGCAGCAACCTGGGGGCCCACTTTGTGTACAGAACCCCAAATCCTGAGGCCAGCGGCCCCTAGCTTCCTCAGCGCCCAAGAAGCCAGGCCCCAACCCCAGAGGGCAGGAGAGTTCCTTTCAGCACCTGGACAAGGCCCTTCAGGGCTTCCCCACAGGGAGTCTCTCCCCACTCTCCATTCCAGAGCGGGTGCTGAGGTCTGTGGGACCCGGGGGCTCTGCTCAATCTGAGCAAATAGATGAAGAGCTCAGCGGGAGGGTAGAGGGCACTGGGTGGGGCTGGGATGCCTTGGAGTGCCACAGCCCATTCTCTGATCCTTGACCTGTGACCCCCTCCCGACGCAGGCCTTGCCCACCTCCGCACACTCACGCGGGAGGTGTCGCTGCTCTGCTGCTCCGCGGACTCTCTCACCACATGGAGCACAGACCGACCCGGCAGCCCCTCCCCGCAGCCCTCCGCCCCGGCCGAGGAGGGGCACAGCGTCCCCTACCCCAACCTGGGAGGGTCCAGAACACGTGTGGGCCGTCCGTCCGAGCCGGAGGGGAGCGGCCGGGGACCGCTCCCATCACCCTCTCCCGGTCAACAAGCACAAAAGCCGCCGCTGCGAACAAAGAAGCGCTGCAAACTCGCCGGGGAGGCGGGACAGCCCGCGCCGCGCCCCCTCCCCACACCCAGCGGGCGTGCCCGGCCGTGGGGTCCCCGCGGCGCCCCGACGGCGCTCTTACCTGGCCGGCGCGGACCTCTTTCTCCAGCTCGCGGTGGCGGTTGTGCCACACGAGGTAGTGCAGCGGATACTTGCTCTCGGGCCCCT